CGTGTGCTCTTCCGATCTTCAAAAATCAAAATAATTTTGTGCGAAAGTCAAAGTGATTGCTAGAATATCAAAACGTTTTATAGCAATGCTTATCAGTTTTAACATTCCAACAAATTATTTTGATGATTCAACAAAAAATTATTTTCAAATCTGTTTTTAGCAAAATTTTTAGATCTTCCAACAAAATCGTTCTTTCCGTACATAAACGACATTATTGAATATTACGCGATAATCATTGATGTTATGTATTTTGGAAAACAAAGTGTATCGATTCTAAAATAAATCTCTAATGCGTCACTCATTTAAAAATATCTTCTTCAGATCGACTTGAAGCACATTAATCAAAATATGGGCGACAAGGTCGAAGTAGGTATCGACCTGCGAGAATATTACCCGAGCGTGGAATGGGACATACTGGGTGTTCCGGCGGAGCGTCACAAAAAGTACTCCCCATGTTGTCTCGAGCCGTATCCCGACATTTTCTTCAACATAACTCTGCGCCGAAAAACGCTGTTCTACACGGTGAATCTCATAGTGCCATGCGTCAGCATCTCTTACCTGTCAGTTCTGGCCTTCTATCTGCCGGCCGACTCCGGGGAGAAGATCGCGCTCTGCATCAATATCTTGCTTTCGCAGACCATGTTCTTCTTACTGATATCCGAGATTATACCATCCACGTCGCTGGCGCTGCCGTTGCTCGGCAAGTATCTGCTCTTCACGATGATCCTAGTCGGATTCTCGGTCGTGATAACGATCATCATCCTGAACGTGCACTACCGCAAACCGAGCACCCATAAAATGGCGCCATGGGTGAGAAAGATCTTCATCAAGAGATTGCCGAAGCTACTGCTGATGAGAGTGCCCGACGATCTTCTCAACGATCTCGCCGCGCACAAGATACACGGAAGAGGAAAATCGGGGAAGAAGAGCAAGTTCAATGCCGCGGTCGCGGCCGCGGTACAATCGTCATCGATAATATCTTCGCCGGATTCTGCTCGTCATCAACGGATCGACGGTACGAAATCGGTGTATCTTCGTAAATTAGGAATAGATCCTCAACTACTCCAGCGCAAACTTACAACTACAATATTGCAGCAACATTGTAATATTATATCTCTGCAATATAGCTGGAATGTTACAATGTGCACTGAGAAAAAAAGTTGTTAAAATAACTAAATGCGCTTTGTTGACAGTTTTTCTTTGATTCAATTATAGGTATATGTTTTTGAATTAAACATATATCAATAACATGATACATCATTAACATATTTTTGTGAATTAACAAATGTTTGCTTGACAGCCCGTGACCGCCGCATTTAGTTGAATGAAATAATATTTTTTTAAATCAACAATTTTTTTTCTCAATCTGGCTGCAATATTGCAGTTATAATCTGTGTTTGCTGGGCTAGCACATTATTGTTACATTTTGACGAAATTAATTATTTTATTATCCGCGCAATATATAAGAAAAATATCAAGATGTAATAACGTGTTCATATATTTCTCCAATTAGAAATTAAAGAAATGATATTACACGTAGTCATTGCCGTTTTTCAGGTTGCAACGGTTTACACACGACAACTGCCCACAACCGATTCCTAGTCGGCAGTTTAGGATACAATGGGCTTTCAACGGTCATGTCCGGTCTTGACGAGTCACTGAGCGACGTGACGCCAAAAAAGAAGTATCCCTTTGAGCTGGAAAAAGCTTTGCATAACGTCATGTTCATCCAGCACCATATACAACGTACGGACGAATTCAATGCAGTAAGCACTTTCAGAAATAATACAAAATCCGAAAAGCAATTTACAGTGCAATCATCCAAACATTTAATATTTTAAAAGGGGAGCATTTAATTTCATGTCTTTTTATTTTTAAAAATATAAAAATATTGTTTACGGATAAATTTGGCGTGTACATGTTTTTTTTAGTGACTGAAAAAAAACCACTTTATGGTAATGGGGAAAAAAATTCGTTCAAATCACTACTCTCTTCAACAGATACATATTCCCGTATATTTGTTTACAAAGAAACATCATCCCGTGTATTGATCACTGTTCTCCGTTATGTCATCGCAGGAGGATCAAGATTGGGGTTTCGTCGCGATGGTTCTTGACCGCCTCTTCCTGTGGATGTTCACGATAGCTTCGATCGCCGGGACGTTCACCATCCTGTGCGAAGCGCCGGCACTTTATGACGACACGAAACCGATCGACATGGAAATTTCTTCCGTTGCTCAACAGCAATTCCTTCCGTCTGGTCAAGAGTTGCTGAAGACCATCGGGTCGTAGACGCGTTTCGTTAGGGCACGCGCGCGATGTGTTTCCGCATGTATTATCAGCATGAAAAAGGGGAAGCGGCGAACTGTCTTACAGGGCCATCACAAAAATTTTAAAATCGTAACCGCAAGGTCCTAAGCATATTGATCAATCACAGTCGAGTTTTCTAAAACCGTAAGATCGCAATGTATAAATTGTGATTGGTCGTGATTTGTTAGCGGCCTCACGATTACGATTAAAACATTTTTCACGTGTGGCTTTTACCGAATAAAGCAACGTTGTGGATAGGTCATGGCCGTGGAACCGAAGTAATATCTCCAAACGCGAAGCGCAGTTCGCGATCGTCTTCATTTAATATAACACTACCGATTCGTACTCAAGCATACAAATTGTATCTAGATAAATTACGGTCTTCGATTTTAAGACGATATATATATAATATGGAATGTAGTTACGATGCCAGTCTATTCGGTTCTGAGGAGCTGGCCTAAATGATATAAGCACGATTTAAAAATTTCCGAAAACAGACAATTCGCTAGCTTGCCTCGCGGGCGACGATTACAACACGATTAATATTCCCGAAACACAAAATTGTATTTGTATCTACTATTATTGTACGCGCAAGTAGTGCGCGACTCGTTCTTTGATAATAACGTCTATTGATGTTCACAGTGTTACGGCAGAAGACTTCGCGATAGGTATCATTTGTAAGACTTTTGGTAACGTTGGTTACACAGACGATATATTGTATAACGGTGATATATCTTATCCGGCGCACACACCAAAAATCTGACTATGTATAGGACAAGTTTCATGCTCCAATTAATATCCTCCCGACGAGCAATCGATTCATATACGTAGCATAGTTTTTCGATAAATTATAAACAGAACTTTTTTCATTACGAGAACACGTATATATATATATATACTCGAGTTTGTTCGATATACCGATGTACGCATTAAAAGCAAAAATAAAAATTCAAAAAATCAAAAATTATAATTCAGTTTTTTTTTTCTTATAATTAAACGTGGACACGATAGTGTATACCTACCTTAACCGGGAAAATACGAACGCGCGCTTAACCGAATATATGTTTCATTATTTCATATATTAACTGAATATATACTTTATTATTTCATATATTATACAAAAGTATGTATGATACAATACTTGTGTAAATATCTGTGAAACAAACGGAAAGTAGATAGGACAAAATATATTTCCACGCAGAGACTAGTTTATCTTAGTGCCTGAATTTAAGGTGATATATTTGTTTGGTGATGAGGTAAATAAAGGAATTATTAGGATTCATTCACTGTCCTGAAAGATTTCAGACGATAACAAATGTAGAAATATGTTACGCGCGCTGATTAATACTAAAGAACACACATACAATACTCGACAAAGTCAAAATCATGATTTAATTAGTGTGCTAATTATTTAATAAAAATTTAATATATAAATCTTCGGAAATCGTATGCTCCTAGTTATAACTATTCAATTATCCACTTGAATTATTTGTTTAAGTGTCCAATTAAATAATCAGAACATAGTGACTCGTACAAAACATCCGACTTCCAAATTTATATTAGAATTGCATTGGCAAGAAATGTTCAGCAATGGAAAAATTTTAAAAATCTGGAGCTTTACAGAAATATTATAACGGAGTTCACAAGTAGGTAAAAAGAATTTACAAGAACAAGTATTTGCTAAGAAAGATCATAATATTACACGAAGATGTTAGAAGACAGGTTCATTTGGAAACACGGACTCCCTGAGACATTCCGATCCACACAAGACTAGCCTTAAGATGTAAGGGTATTAATTGAAAGTGAATCTCAAAAAGAGGACAGAATTTAGAAAGAAAGGATGATAATCTTGATTATGCAAGTCAGGATTTACAGTAAAAGATTTAAGAGTAATTACTTCCTTAAGGGGAATGAAAAATTGCTTCGTTATATTATTTCATCTACATATCTTGTGTTTCTCTGCAAGGCTTCATTTTTTTTTTTACTTTTCACGTTACTAAACGTTTCTTGTGTGAGTTCTCAGTATTACGCATTTTTCTTCAAAGCAAAAAGTTTCTTCGCATAAGACACGCTGAATAAACAAGAATATCAAAATACTTATTATTTACTAATAACAATTATTAGTAAATAATTATTTACTTTCGCTGTATTACATACTGTGCTATTTACTGCTCTCACACTCTGGCACCATAGAAGACATTAACAAATGCATTGCCATCGTAACGAAAAAAAAACATACGGAAATTATCATCTATAATATATATCAAGTAATTCAGTAATAATAAAATACATCTTAAAAATATACTACTGCGAAAATTGTCATATAAAATCGTTTCCCAACGCTGTTATTTGATACATAATTCATATATACTTAAAATTATAGGATTCTGTTTCTTTGAAACTGTGTGAAATAAAAACAGAGACATTATTTGGTAAATAAAAATCTTAAGTTTAAAAAAATAAACATATCGGCTAATCATGATGTACTCGAATATAAAATTAATTCATCTGTGATTACTTACGGTAGTTACGTTAACTATTAATCATTTAACTAAGTATAAACTTATTAATCATTGATGTACAGATAATAGAAAAAATATATAAAAAGTTCTATATCCATTTCTTAGTTTATCAATTTCTACAAAGCAGTGTTCCTCAATTAATAAAGCATTACTCACTTTATAGTATTTATAAAATAAGCTATCGCTCAAAAATAATCTTTAAAAAAATTAGCAAGTAATAAGAAAACTCTTAATGTTTGAGAAACTTAATGTTATCCTATATAATATTAAATTGCAACGCTAACTATAATTTAATACTGCTTAAAAAAATAGATTTCTCTTCCTATAGCCACGAAACTTTATGAAAATAAAACATAAAAGATATAAAATGAGAAATTCAAGTGATTGAGAAATACTACTGTTACATAAATATGTATATATATATATTTTTTTTTTAACTCTTCATCAAATTACTCATTGTGGAATGTTGTTTGTTTGGCTATCTGGGTCGATAAGCAGAATTACGTCACGTATAAAATAAGAACAATGCATAGATGAATCTTATTTACTTATCTGACTTCTCATGGATTTCAAAATACGAAACGTGTAATCGACAGATGCATCCATCACAATCTTTGACATTTTTTATAAGACTTTATGCCATTATAAATTCATCTACAATATAAATGTATCTACAGTCTTAATATAAATATATAATTAAAATCAACTTAAATAATAAAATCATAGACTTATATCTCCATAATGTTTAGACAGGAAGGGTTATCAAAAATTGATATATTATTAGCCTAGCAATGTTAAGCTATGAAAAAACAACTATTAAAATATATATAACTTGCGGCTTCATAGAATATTCTTAAATGTAAATATAATCGATGAATGAAGCAAATAGAGAAAAAGATAAAAAAATTAAAAAAAAGAATAAATCAAAAAAAATTTTACTAATAAACGTTTATTTTACAAGCAATCTGGAGATTTTATTAGTAAGAAAATAGAGAGAAGAGGAGAACATAAAAAAGTTCTCAAAGAAGAAGCCTGTCAATAATCAATATGAAATTTGAATATCGCACATTAATCTTTTAGTAGAGGTTGAAAGTTGATTTTTCACTAAAGCATGGAAGACTGCTAGGATTTTTGAAGTATTCTATTCATAAAAGGTATTGTGAGACGGAAAAGTTGAAGAACTCGTGGATCGTTTGATACAACATGATGGTATAGCACCAGCTAATATTAAACTTAAATAACATAAGTCAAAGAAAGTTCGGTCCAGCACCGAGAACTATTAGAATATTAGATTATACTTCTCGATCTAACTTGAAACAATGAGCGTACATGTCGGATTACAATGCCGTAAGACGCGGACTTCCCGCAAAAAAAATTTTTCTCTTCTGCTGCCCTAGTGCTTATCAGTTTCATTTCGATAATATTGTACGCATAAATATAAATAATTTGTTTAAATAAAATTTTAATAAAAATTAAAAATAACGTATATGTATGTATATATGTTTTTATTATGCTAGACGTTTGCAAATCTTCTTTTACTGTACGCAAAATATATGCTCTTTTTTTTATAATACACTTATATAATATATTCAGCCAGATTCGCGGAGGTACATACGCTTAGATATACACGCTTGTGCTTCCGCATATCAAGTTTCGTAGAGAGAAAATTAGATTATATACTCTTTGCCTAAACACTATTCCTCGCGAAGTCGTATTTAGTATTACAAAAATAAAAATACACGAGAGTGTTACTCTGGACACGAGACAAGGCAGCTTTCATGGTTCACGTTATTTCCTGTTCTCCATTCAATTTCGCTTATAATTATGTGAACATTATACAAAAATTAATTGAAATATAATTGAATTTCCTAAGCGTTTGTAAAATTATTACTCAAAAAATATTCTTGCGATAGAAAGAAAGTCTATTTGAATTTATTTCTATTCAACGTGAAGCAACGAAAGTGTCTAAAGGAATTCTCGTATCCAACTATCCAACGATAAAATCGCATATACTATAATTCTTATTTTACATTGAAAGTCTGAGAGTTGCAATAAGACTTTTATACAATATACTAGATCGTTAGACGATATTGTTCAAAATAAAGTTAAACTCTTTATTTAAATTTTGCAGTAAAATCGCACAAACTTATTATCTAAATATTAAGAAATATTAATTTTATATATCCTAAAAATATATATGTGTTTTATTAAGTATTGCGTGAAATTCTAATATTTATGAAAAAAGGATTAAATGAGAAAATAGTGATTTTATGATGTTTTCGAATGACAAAAAGTAATCATATGGATATACATAAAATAGATAATTTTTTTTTATTATAAATTTATTCAGAGAACATTTAGAGTAAAAAAGAAATATCCGATTTTTTTTCATGCAATAATGAATAAGAATATGATCTGCCTTTGCGACATATACCTGCAATTCCTTCCTGACAATCACTTTGTATCACTTCTTGTTTTACAATTACATATTACAAAGTATCTCGCGTACACTAACAATCTAGTATATTATATAAAAGTATGTGATATCAATGTCACTTTCATTCATCGTACGATCAGAATTCACATACTCGTCTTATATCTACAGTTCACACATGTTAGATTCAGGACTTGAATTTGATGAATCATCATCATTTGCATACCGCAACACGCATCAAGAGTCGGAAGATTCAAGCACATAATATGTAACTTACGTTAACAACAATCCCTCCTTTCTGCTGTCCTTAATGTGTGATAAGCGAAGGGTATCGAGCAGCTCTGCTTGTAGAATTGTAGAGTATCTCGATACGCGGGAGGCTGGAACCTATGTGTGCGCGCGAGTAATCTTAAAATCAACCTTTCCACGTGCCAATGTAATTTTTGCAGTTTGGACAGAAGTGATGAACGCTCATGAAAGCGTTCATACAGTATGGCAGGCATGAGCAGAGGCAGCATCTGAAACAGGAAAAAACCATTACCGAATGCATCTACAATGAGAGCTGCTTGTAAGAAAATTAATTAACTAAAGTTACCGCTTGCGAGCATTTGATTTACATAACACATAACGTTACGCGTTGCCAGTGCATATTTCTCGCGTAACAATATGCACAATTGGTTCTTGTAAAAAATCATCGGTGCAAATTATAATAATTCATTCAAGAACAATAATTTATATTTCAATAGCTAATATATATATATATTGAAAAATAAATTTAGACTTCTATTTCTAAATACAACATCTCACTATCGGATATCAATAACACAAACCTGTGAAATTAAGGGTTCTGAAAGAAACAAGTATATCAGAATATTGACTTCCCCTACGTAATTTTGGTGAATCCGCCAGCGAAAAATACCCATCACATAAGGTTTCTAATATAAATATAATAATATGGACAAAAAACAGTAACTTTTGCCATTTTCAAGACGTTACTGTGACTGACCAAATTATGTTTTTAATATTCTCTCAGCGACATCATAAAGCGCTATCTTTTACGTTTAAATAGCAACTCTGTTTATTCCTGTACGATTTTTTTCGCCCAATTATGAAGACAGAGAGGTAAAACAAATTTTTCAAAGCAAGAGAGTTGCCATCAACTACTAGTAGGCAAGAGCCAAAGATGATTATCTACTCAGTAAAGGCAAGATTGAGCAATATTATGGGATTATTCAACCAGTGAAGACAAGAATGAGGATTAACTCAGCCAATGAAGGGAAGAAGATCAAGAAATCATCCAGCCACTGAAGACAAAATTGAAGCGTCGGTTTGAGTGTACTTTATAATTCATGGAATTGTCGATTTTCCACTACTTCGACAGTGCATAGCTTCATCGTTGAGAAGTTTCCATCTTAAAACCTTCACTTGGCGAAAAAAATCGTACAGGAATAAACAAAGTCGCTATTTAAAGGTAAAATATGGCGCTTTATGATGCCGCTGAGAGAATATTAAAAACATAGTTTGATTAGCCACAGCAACGCTTCGAAAATTACAAAAATCACTGTTTTTAGCCCATATTACCACATTTATCTCAAAAACCTGACGTGATGCGACATTTTTCGCTGGCGGATTCGGCGATCAAAATTACGTAGGAAGTCACTATTCTACTACTTGTTTTTTAAGAACCCTTAATTTCGCAGGTTTATGTAATCAGAAGAACGAAAAACTATATTGAATGTGATCGATATGTAATACCTGCAGTAAACACGCATTACAAATGTACGAAATATACGCATACGTGCGAAGCAAGTTTCATCACTTACCCGAGTAAGCAGAGTATGATGCAACAAATGTGAGCACTCGGCTGATGATCTGATATTGTGGTAGTTTTGATATCGGCGCGACACGTCGGACATGTCATTTTCACTGCATTCGGCGCTAAGGAGTACACTATATGTTGTTGAATGACCCGCACTTCCGTTTGCGGTGCGGAATTCAACTCGGCATTGAAACGCGGTTGCGATGTCGGTTGATTCGAACTCGGATAAACTGACGGTGTAGGCATCGTCGTTTGATTTGGCGGCTGATTGTCTGAAATTATATAAGCTTTACTCTCTAGCCTTATATACACACATTGCTTTTCATTGATCAGAAAAAGAGAATTTAAATTAACAATCTCTATATAAAAGAAATAAATAAAAAATATATACAAGCAACTTATTCACAAATTTACAGATAGGTATTTTACTTTAAGTCTTACAAAATATAAGTTTCGCGGTGTTTCGACTTATCACAAAGTATCAAATCCTTTATATGTATATCAAGATATCACTTACATGGCATGGGCATTTGTATCGGCGCATTTCCCTGGGGATACGGTGTGGGAATGACTGAAGGGTGCGTAGGTGCTCCTCCCGTATTAGCTATGGCTTCCTCGTAAGACGGCGGAGCCGTTGGCAGAGGGGCTGAGGATTGGGCACCAAAACCTATGTTCTTCTCCATTTTTCCTGAAAAAAAAAAAATGTTTAAGTTAACAACAATGTCATAGCCAAAGCTATTTAAATTAACTTTTTCAAGTCATAAGAATAAAGAATTTTAAATTTTCCGTAAGTAATATTCTCACAAACACCTTATATACTTCACTGTTGCAATTAACATAAATAAACACAAATAACAATGTCCCCACTTATTACTAAATAAATACATCGTTAAATAATTAAAATTTTACGCAATAATATAAAAATTAATAGTATAGCTTGATATTTACGTGAGTAATAATTTTATAATTTCATGATTCGTAATTATAATAAATAATAAAAAAAAAAACAATTCAAAAATTTCCACATGTGCGTCAATAATATTAAATAATAGCATAGGTACTTCACTTCTTTTTGTCTCTTGCTAAATGTCTTTATGTTTGCCGATAAAATGCCACGTAAGCGAAGCTACGCAAATTCATTATGACATCATTCACAAAAAACCGAGCGGGATTATCAAGTATGTCGTAGTCGTTCGTTATTTTCTTTTACACAGTACACGATTAAAATATATATTTCTTTTTTTTTTGCCATATATAATGTTGCGTTCAAACAAGTTTCTCGGTAGATTTATAATTAAGAAACTAATGGAAACTAATTTATAACAAGAAAAATAATATTTCGCGGTATTTTATCATTGATCTTATACAGGCATTTATGCAAATAACACAACGATATGACAAATAACCATCACGTAAAATTAAAGCACGCTAGAATTGTTGCAAATATATTATTATCCTGTCGCCGAGAGAGATTTATTATCGATGATTAACAAATTTTCTTTTCGTGTGACACTCGTGATATTAAATATCTATTAATATTTAAATATTATATAAATCGAGAAAATAATTCTTATTATTTAATTATTAAAATAATTAAAATAGTTCTTTTAATAGTTCTTTTAATTATTAAAATAATTAAAATCGTTTTTATTATTTAATTTTACAGCATCTAAATTTCTTAACGAATCTTAAAATCCAAGCACCATTGTTTCATAACGAACGAAAAACTATACGCTTTTAAAAATTTTTCTGCTCAAAGATAATAATCATAATTAAGCATGTTTGAAAAAGAAAAGAGTTTCCGCATTTTTTGACAAGAGGAAAATATAATTATCTACAAATATAATTAATTGCAAGAGATTCTCAATGTTTTGATTTGCGAATCCAGTGGGAATTCCAGATATATCACATCAAGAAGCTATCTATGTGACGCATACAAACAGGCCTCGCTGGCACGGGAAATTGTAGGATGCCAAGATGAAACATCGCGGCGTGCAATGAGACTCGCAATAAAATTTAAATGTAAATAACGAACGAGCACACACATTTACGTGCTGTGGCGCGCGAATAGAAAGTTGGGCGGATGTTAAGTAACAGAGACACGATACATATTTGCCAGCAGAGCCGCGCGCGTAGAAAGCTTGGAATCCCGAGTTGCATGCTCGGCGCCTCGTAATACCTCGGATGGATATTACGGTGTATCTTATTTTAAAGCCGTCACGCGACTTATTCAAAAGTGCGAATGCATTTACGTTATACCGCGCTTAAATAAGCACGATCCACATTGACGTGACGCGATAATCGCGACTAAAGACCGGTCTACAATTGCGTAAGCATAGTTGCAAATAGTTGTAGTTGTAAGAATATACCAATCACAATCGAATTTAAGAAGAATATTCGACTGTAATTCGTCGGTTCTTACAACTACAATTACTTACAACAACACTTACGTAATTGTAGACCAGGCTTAATGAGCTACTTACAATTAGAGTCCCAGTGATCTTCCACCGTTTCGTCCGTAAATTTCTAACTTCAGGCTCAATTAAGCATTAACCAAAGTAGATGTTTCAACAGTTAGAAATGCGATACAATTCTCCATATAATACGTAATAGTAATATATACTATATATATAAATAATACAAACTTCAAAATAAAATCGAAAAATGTTCATGGCAAAATTCCGTATAGCCTTCTTATATTATTTGTATTTAATTTACATAATATAATTATTGTATAATTGTTGTATTTACGTAGTATAATTATATGTATAATTATTTCAGAGAATAATTTTGACTTGATAGAAACACTGTTGCAAAAGAATAATTCCTTTTTCTCTTGCATATCGTATCTTCGCCAAGCGAAATGGACTGTTCCAATCTCCGTTTCCGTGTTTTATTCAATATTTCCTAGCGGAAATGGAAAACTATGCAAGCCATTAGCGGATGCGGAGTCGGATTTTAAGAGAAGCTTCCATGAAATCGTTATATGCTTTTAATTGACAGCGAGTACAAAATGCGCGAGGCGAAACGTAAGCCTTATTACGGAGTCCCATTACAGATGGATTTCCTTTCGCTGAAACAGTTCCGCGTCGTGATTTCCCCGGAGCTTCTATACGATCACACGCATACGCTCGGTTCTGTGATCGGATAAGAACAAAACAATAAACTATGAATAATACGAACACAAGATAAGTAAGTGAATGCTCCCACTATTTGTTTTGAAATAAGGTAATGACGATAAAAGTCACATATTGATATGTGTTATTATTATAAAGGTTATTACAAAAAATTAATTTAAAATAATGTTTGATGAAATTAATAAGAGTAAGGAAGATGATATTTTAAAAGTACTAATCAGTATATATAGATTATATAGAGATGGTAATTAAATACAGAGATAATATAGAGATCATATAATTAAATATAGACAAAGAACATAATTTATAAGAGTACTAATATACCCCAAATATCATACGGATACAATTTTCACAACTTATTAAAAGGAAAATTTGATGGTAAAAAAACATATGTAGCATAAATAAGTTTGTAGAAATTTATGCAAAAAACATTTAAATTTAACTTATTTAATTAAACTATTATAATTTAAATTATAATTATTTGGTTATAAATTAATATTTGGAATATATTAGCATTTTTATAAAATTATATTATTATATTTAATTACTATATTTAATTATAATTATTGTATCTATACTCTACTTCTGATTAATATACTTTCATAAAATGTTGTCTCCTTTACACTCTTTTATTACTTTTCTCATTCTTTTAAATTAATTTTTTGTAATAATCTTTATATGTAACATTCGTAAAAATATATATATATATTATACAACACACATTAATTATTAATGAGTCAGACAACAATAATAAATAAGTTTAAAATACAAGAGAGCTAAACTCATTTAACTTTAATTTTTTTCTTTATACAGTTCTGCAAAATCACTAATAATATATATGTATATTTTTTATTTAAATTTTTTTAAAGTAAAATTTTTCACGAAATTTCTACATTTGCGTACTCGGAATATCTTAAAATATTTCAAGTATGCAAATATCATAAAATATTCGTAGAAAACAACACTATAAAAAAATTACAGTAAAAAATTTACATATATTATTGATTTTGTAGAATTCCATAAGGAACAACATTGAATTTAAATAAGTTTAACTCTCTTATATTTTAGACTCATACTTATTATCTGGCTCGTTAACAGTTATCATCTGACTATGCGTCATTTAAATTTATTATCCGATAAAATGTAAGCTAAAAGTGTGTGTGTGTGTGTGTGTGTGTGTGTGTTTCAAATTTTGACCTCCTTGTCTCCCATAAAATTCGACCAAATTGATAAACAGAATATATATTTATACAAAAATTATATACACGAATTTTGATCCGAGACACAAATTAACGTTCGCGACTGACAGATAAAATTCCAATTATAAACAGGCGAATCGATGCTCGTGAATAATTCACGTATGCGTGCGACAAACGATGCCAGTTCCTTGCATCAAAATTCACGCGAAATAGGATATTCCCTTCGCAATTTAACGCGCGAACTCGCGCGTGTCTCGGCCACGATGTTTTAAGCATCGCAACACAAGGTGAACCGCGAGTGCGTTAAAAGGAGAAAAAAAGCTAGGAGCCCATCGCGACAACGACGGGACGCATTGTCGCGCTCGCAGAGAAGAATGTGCGGACGAGGCAGCGCGGGGGCCGCTCGAGTTACTCACCGTGTGTGTGCGCGCGTGTGTCCTACGGGCAAAATTAAGCGACCTGCACGTCCACGTAATCGGACGCGAATTAGGTTATCGTTCCCACGTCGGTCCCCTCGATTGGGCGTTAAAGCGCAGGTGGCCCAGGACGCGACGGTGGACGCAACGTCGCGAGCCGCGGGAAAACTGTCGGGGTGAGAGAGAGAGAGGCACTGCCGCTCGTGGCTTTTCACGTTTACGCTCGCGCGTCAATTCCCTCGCGTGGCGGAGAACGAGAGCGAAAGGGAAACCGCACGGCGGAGCAAAGCGAGGAGAGAAACCGTCGCGCTTTGTGGCGCCGTTGTGTATCGGAACGACGACCGACCAGTGACCACCACACAGGCGAGACTGACCTCTCG